GGCTAAGCTTGTGTAAGTCATCTTCTCTCACCCCCTTCCTACTATGGGTTTGTTTGGGATTTTTTGTGTATGGAGGAATTATCGTGGAAGACAATTTTTTATGATTGAGAGAATCAAGGTAGGTCTTGATAGGATCAAGAAAAGTTCTGTAGGAGCTGCACAGAAAGGTGTAGTATCTCAAAAGTCCAGTGGTATAATGATGTAAATCCAACTTCTATTTAAAATAATTCTTGCTTAAAACAACTGCCTAAGTCCTGTACTGGGATTGATGGCTTTTTGCTAGTGCAGTAAGCGTGTCCTTGATCTCTCCAATGTGAAGTTTCTCTGGATATTGCACAGCTGCAAGTAAGACCAATGTGCCTGAAAATGTCTCCTACTGTTTGTGGTTTCAATCCCTCAAAAAAAGCGTTGTACAGAAATGAAAAGTATGTCTCAAACTTTTTAAAAGGTGTTTTTAAGCCTCCATTTTAAATAGAGGGAAGTTTTGATAGGACTTGCTTTAGTGACAGTGGTGAATTTAGTGGTGGATATACTTATATATACTTAATCCTATATAAACATATTTCAGATGACTATTTGCAGCTTCTGCACAACACTGGTCATTGAAACCCATGGACAGACTAATCTTCAGACCGCTGTTAAAATAAATACGTAACTTTTTATAAATGAGAAGCTAAAAATTCAGAAGTTCACATAAAAACTTAACCTTAAATTTTCATTTAAGCCTTAATGATAATGGAACAAGTTTCTTAAAGATGTCTATTTCCTGATTCTTGTTCTAATATGCTGGAAAATGTTGTTTCTTTCTTCTCTTTCAGAGAGAGTGATGTAGCTGGTATTGATGTCAACATGGGATGCCCAAAAGAATATTCTACTAAGGCAAGTGGATTTTGATTACTCTTCAATAAGCTTTTTCTTTTAGAGGTGTGGAGTGCGGAATACATGTTCTGTTTTTCTGGGTTGAACAAATTCAAGCAGTAAAATTTTTATGCCCAGAAACGTGATTTTTATTTTTTTTTTTTGCAATAGATAAAGAGTTTTGAAGGTGTCATGGCCCTAATACAGTAAAATAATGTAGTCTATTAGAATGTATTCTCACTTAAGAATAGATTGAGTCATGTAATTATACACGATATCCTTAAGTGAGTAAGCCTGTATGAACTGTGTAAGCTCAGGTTAGTGTGGATGTGTACCACTGAGCAAGTGGTGATTGTATTTTCTGTCAAGACAGGCACTGAGTATTGAGAAAAATGTGGTGAGGTTGTTAAATTGTAGTATTGTACAAAGTTAACGCTAAAGTTATTTAGAATTCTGAAAATTCTGAAAGACTATGTTGTCTGTTGCACTTAAAAGTAAATTCATTAAGGCTGTATAAAATATTGTTTGGGTTGTTTTTTTTCCAGAGGTCACTAATTTATTGGATGAGTGAAACATGTTCTGCTAAGCTTTCGAAAAAACAGGAATCTCAGTTTGTTATCTGAGCAAGTAAACATTTGCAACTTAGCAATGCTGAGTTCAATTATTGGTCAGTTTTAAGTGGGAGGAGGATGGATCAGATAGCACATACAATACTAAACTTATCCTCTGTCACCTGTGGCTAAAATGCAGAGTAGTCAAACTAGTTGTTAGCACTGTTAAGCCAGTTAGTGTGTAGATAAAGTATCAATGAATTAGACCATGGAGCTCCATTTTGTTGTCAGATGTTCATGCAGAATAGGTAAGAGATGTTTTGCACTTGTTGTCAAAGAAAAAGAGCTTCAACTTAGAAGACTGACTGTTTCATTTAAATGTTGTCCTCTAGTCTTTGTAGTATTGGCATTTGTAGTATTGGCAAGGGTATCTAGTGTCTTCGCTTTACCAGTTAGTAGTGCCTCAGCCTGGGTCTGACAGTGGTCTACGTTGAAAGTACCAGGCGATGGTGCAAGAAAGGCATAGGATGGATCAGTTTATAGCAGGATTTTCTTTTTCACTACTTCTTAGCTTTGTAGGTTGGCTTGCACTCTGAAGAAAAATTACTTAAATTCTTCTAATATATTCCATCTAACTTGTGAATAACTTTACCCACATACGTTTCTAGGGTTCTTCTGTTTTAATCCCATTATCTTTTTTGTTTCAATGATAACTTATGAAAATTATGAGGTGAGTGAGGTATGGTGAAAATAAATATTTTGTGTTGTTTTAAACTCAAATTTTAGTTTCGAGTTGTTCTCGAGTCTTTTTATTTATGTATTTAGAGTCTGTTGTTTCTGAACTTCCTCTGTTTTTCTCCCAGATGGCTTTTGAGATAAAGTGATATTAACAAGGAACTGTAGTCATGTTGAGGGCATGTCTTTAAACTCATAATAATGTGATGATACTTCCAGTAATGTTTTCTTTAGCCTTTATTATTTTCTTCTGTATTATAATTACATGGAAGACTGTTTTATCCTTCTACAGAACCGTAATTAAGAACAGAACACCAAAACATCCACCCTGCACTAGGATGAAAGATCGAAAATTCAAATGCTGGTGAATGGTTATTCTCTGACAATTCTGGGTCAGAAAAGTTCATACAAATTTGAACTTAGTTCTTGTGTCTGCCTGTTGGCCTCTAGATCTATGTATGCAGATGAGATAGTGCAGAAAGAACAGCTAAAATAGTAAATTGTGAAAGTGTTCATGATTTGTGTTCAATACAGCCACTTAATTTGTCTTAGCTTGTTTTTCTAAATGTAATGTGTAGACAGAAACTACTCATGTCAAGATCTCTCAAACATGGTGTGTAATGTTAGAACAATAAATCTTTTCAACTGTCACTTAATGAGTAGAAACTGGATGATTACAGTTGCCAAAAATGCTTTTTGAAATCCTGTCCACTACATAAAGTAATGGGAGCAAGCTGGTGCCCTGAGTTACTGCTTGATTGCTCCGATGAAACACGTTTCCTGGAACTGTATCGAAGTGTTCACAAATGCTCCTGCATTTTAGATTTGGAAAAAAAAAAAAAAAAATTTTTCCTCTTTTTTTTTTTCTTAATATGACGTTGTACTTTTGCTGTGGTCTGCTAATAAGCAAAGTAATTGAGTTGAAAAATGTGTTCTCCTAGTGTGTAACAGTTTCTGTATATTTTTCCAGGGAGGTATGGGAGCAGCACTGCTATCTGATCCTGACAAAATAGAGTCTGTAAGTATCACCTGATGGGTTTTGAACTGCCTTGCAAAGTATTATGCTCTACTGGAAGCAGGAAAATGCACAGAAGACAAATTTGTAAAAGCTGGAGTAGAATAATCAGTTTTGAATACTGAAATTAAGGTTATGGATAAGTAATCCTGATTTAGTTCTCCTTGTCATTGTCTGGACTATAAAATTGCTGTCTTCCTTTTCAGTTTTAAAACTTTCACACTGTGGTGCTACATTTGCAGAGGGAGGAGTTTTACATGCATATATATATGTATATATATATGTAAATCTGTATAAAACCCTATGTGAACCAGTATGAAAAAGGTTCATACATGTGTATGTGTATATTTATATGTGCGTATATGTATTTTCTGTGTGTGTACGTATAAACCCTGTATGAACCTATCTGAAAAAACTATATATACATCTATCTGTATGTGATATAGATAGATATGTAATACCTTTTTTATGTATGTGTGTATGTACATTCCGAAGGGCTTCTAATCTTCCTGAGATTGAAGAGTCCAGACATCGCTCTGGGTTTCCAGGAACGTTCTTAGCATACAGTTCTTTTCTTTCTGTTTAAAGATCTGATTCTTCAGAGTTCAGATGGGTTGACTGCAAACTTTGTCTTGCTTCCCCTTAGCTTTTAGTTGCTCGCTGTGTCCTCCTTCAGAGTTCCTGAGGGCAATTCTAGTTCACAATTCACCTCTTGGCAATAACTGAATCATGGTACACAGTGGCAAATGTTTTCAAGGTAGCTATTCTTTATTTCTTGTGCTGTCAAAAGTATGCAGATCCAGACAAACCAAAAATACCGAAAGCATTGCTCTACCTTTTTCCATGTGGCTTTTGGGTGCGTTTTAAGTGTTCTTTGATATAGGTCAGTCTTTTGAAGAGACCAGACTCTCTTCACTTATCTGCCTGAATCTTCTTCTGAATGATAGCTGACCTCCTCCTGATCCCAGCAGTTCGTGCCTTTTCCTTCTGTCTAAAATGGATGCTGAGTCTTTTGTAAATCCTCCTTATTGTGATAACACCATTCAGTTTTATAGGCCAGTAGTTCCCACTCTCATTTAGAGAGCTATTAGATTTCTGGTACCGTTTATTGTGTAGTCACAGATTGATTTAAACAGATAGAGGCCATCACATGGCCCTTTTAAGTACGGTCTGTTGGACTTAATCCCAAGCACAAGTACAGGCTGAGTGGAGAATGAGTTGAGAGCAGCCCTGAAGAGAAGGACTTGAGAGTGTTGGTTGATGAGAAGCTCAACATGAGCCGGAAACGTGTGGTTGCAGCCCAGAAAGCCAACCATGTCCTGGGCTGCATTAAAAGTGTGGCCAGAAGGTCGAGGGGGGTGATTCTGCCCCTCTACTCTGCTCTCCTGAGACCCCACCTGCAGTGCTGCGTTCAGCTCTGGGGTCTCCAACATCAGAAGGACATGGAGTTGTTGGAGCGGGTCCAGAGGAGGCCACAAAAACGATCTGAGGGCTGGAACACCTCTGCTATGAAGACAGGCTGAGAGAGCTGGGGCTGTGCAGCCTGGAGAAGAGAAGGCTCTGGGGAGACCTTCCAGCAACCTTCCAGTGCCTAAAGGGGCTACAAGAAAGCTGGAGAGGGACTTTTCGTAAGGATATGTAACGATAGGACAAAAGGCAATGGATTTAAGTTGAAAGAGGGGAGATTTCAATTAGATCTAAGGAATAAATTCTTCCCTCTGAGGGTGGTGAGGCACTGGAACAGGTTGCCCAGAGAAGTTGTGGCTGCCCCATCCCTGAAAGTGTTCAAGGCCAGGTCAGATGAGGCTTTGGGCAACCTGGTGTAGTGGAAGGTGTCCCTGCCCATGGCAGGGGGACTGAAACTAGATGATCTTTGAGGTCCCTTCCAACCCTAACCATTTTATGAATCTATGACTTAAATTCAGCCTGTGAAAAGGAGATTCTTTCCATAGCTCAATTCTTAAATGGCTAAACTAAGAAATGCTTATTTGTCTACTTATTCTGAGTTTGTTTTAATGAATAAAATGTGCTTTGTGTGAAGCATGGAATTTAGTTTACGATTTTTGTTTTCTTTTAGAAGATTCAGTGATGTTGTTGCTTGATATTTTCCTCTCTTTTTTTTTTCCATTTTGAAAGCTGTCTTCTCTTTAAAAAAAAAAATCTCTTTAGGTAATACTTAGACTTACTTTTGTAAGAAAATTTCAACTCGAATATAAGATGACTGTGGAAACAGTTGCATGAAAATGAAAGACTTTTGCACTTTATTTTGAAATGATTGGAGTTTGTTGATAACCTCGTATTAAAAGCAGTGGTCTAACTCCAGCAGCAGTTAATTGCTCTGTACAAATCCAGTTAAAATAAAAAAGGAAATGGAAATAATGGGACAGTAACTAGTGTTTTATTCTCATTACTTTGTATTTTAGAGAGAAAGGAGGAGAGCTTTTTTAATGTCACTGTTGTGATCATGGTTTTGTCTTTTTTTTCTCTTTGTGTCTTAGAGAGAAAGGAGGAGAGCTTTTTTAATGTCACTGTTGTGATCATGGTTTTGTCTTTTTTTTCTCCAGATACTGACTGCCCTTGTGAAAGGAATTTGTAAACCAGTAACATGCAAAATCCGCATTTTGCCCTCAGTAAGAACATAAATCATTCTGCTAAAGTGTTGGTTGTTGTTTAATTCTATATGTAGAATATTCTATATTCTATCCTCAATTCTGTGATTTACAATCAGTTAGAATATATTGCATTCTAATATAGTGGCATTTTACACCTGTTATTGTGAAATAGCACTTGGAATTATAGTTTCTATTTGGGATGCTGTCACAACCCTAAAGGGTTATCTGACCTGCAGATGTATAGAGATCGTGATTGTGAGTTTGTTGGATTCCATGATACACAAGGACACAGAGGCTTTTATCTTATAAATTTCTCAACCTTATTACAGATTACCACAATTACCACAAAAATCACCATGGCAAATATGATTAATAAAGCAAGGCATAGATATATCTATCTCCAATTATTAGAAATTATTAGTAGCAACAGTCAATACTGCAACAGCAATTATTAGTATGGTACCAATCAATTATAGCAACCATCAATAACAGCAAAAACCAAATAGGTATCTACTGTTACAACTTCCTATAAACCTATCAGTAGTGAAGCACCCACATCAATAATATCACAGCAGATACACTTACGATAGATTACTTACATGCATATGTATGTTCATAGTAATCATACTGGCATCAAGTGCATTAGACAGATGTCAGAAGGGGGCCAAACCATCACAGATTGAAGGAGAAACTGATCCCAGAAGGGGACCCAACAATCCTAGAAGTAGAATGGCAAACGGAACCAACTCCAAAGCAGGCCCTGAAGAGGACCAATGGAGTAAGAGACTTACGCTAGAGATGATCTGTGTCATGGAGCTTGGAGTTGGCCAGCCATCCCTGGCAAGAGTCCAAGATCTTGTAGAAAGTTTGTGCAGAGAGTTTGACCTGTTTAGGAAAAGGAAAGGTATGTGAGCTTGGGAAGCTCAGAGAGAGAGAGAAGCTCCATTTTGGATAAAAACTAGTTATTTTTATTTCTTAGAGACACGAGGGTGTAGGACACCACCCCTCCAGTAGCCAGTAGATGCTGTTAATTCCTATTTTTCACCTGGGGCAGCCAGTAGATGATTGTTTCCTGTTCTTTCAGACCAATTTTTTTGTTTTAGACTCTTCCTGTTCTTGCAGTTAGAACAGCCAATGGCAGTTAGATTCATTCTTTCTCAGGATTTTTTCCAGACTGTTTTTACCTTTTCAGATGGGAAGTTGCTGATACAGTTCCTTGGTTTTGCACTTATCGATGGTATCTCAGGATGTTTCTGGTTTCTAGGTTCCCAACTGCATTTATCAGGAATGTTTCTAGTTCCCAGGCTAGCAGGTGTTCTCTCATTATTTTTCAGAAGATATTTTCTTCTGTTCGGCAGTTTTCCCTTTCCAACCAGGTTGCCTTTCTCATGACAGATGTCAAACTTCATTTCTCTTCCCTAGTTTAAAAGGTCAAGAAAATACTAAACATGAGATGTCTACACGTGGTTTTATTCCATTGAACTCCAAATGCGGATACTTCTGTTAAAAGTATTTTAGTCCTGTTTAGTGTAACCTACTGAGTTAATCCCAAAGCTTTTTGCTTTCTTGATTCTCAGAAGCAAAATCTTCTTAGCAATTAGAATGGCTTTTTTCTAGGTAGATTCTTGGGTTCAATCACTAATTTCAAAGAAATTGTGGTAAGACTGTTATATTGCTAAAGCTGTCATATTTTGTCAGTATTTTTTTTTTTAATTTAACTATTAAGAATGTAGTGAAAACACACAGGTTCTTTGTATTTCTTACAGCTGATGTTTTACTGGATTGTTGGAGGCTTTTTCAGTTGAATTCCCTACATATTTTTAAACCTCTAGGAGTTAATGTGCCTTCTCCTTTAATGACTGATTATTTTGCAAATGTATATTTAATTACCTGCCTAAATACCATGATTGTATATGACCTGGATAGATATTTGTGTTGATGGGTGAACTGTGACTGAGCTAGTTATTGTTCAAAAGTCATTTATATGTGCACTTAAAATCATTAAATGAACAAACGAAGCCAGTGTGAAAATCAGTAACTATGTAAGTTTATTTTGGTTTTGAAGTACTGAAGTATTAAATCAAAGAACTGGCACCTCTCCTTTTTATTTTATATAACTCTCCTAGAGCCTCTTACTTTTTGTTTCAAGCTGCTTTTGCGTAACATGTCATCCATCAGAACAGCAGGTGAGCTTGTGTCTCTGTGTCCATGCCAGCTGGTAGATACTGCATTTTTCAAAGACTGAATGTGTTATTTTTGTGATGAGCCACAGATCATTCTCCAGCTTTTGAAAAGAAAATTGGCCTTATCTTTTTTTCATTTTCCCTTTCCCCAGAGCTGCGTAAGACTGGCTAATCCAGCAGTGTGCCAAATTTCTTTTTGCCTTTTAACAGCATCTTGCCCCCTTGAAGATATATCTGGAGCTTTCCCTTTTTCAGTTGTATCTCTTGATTCACTGGTCATGTACAAATAGCATTCATAGTTAACTTTTTAAAGACATATCTGAGAGGAATATTTATAGATGTGTGATTGCATGTTACGTTGATTTCAGAAGGCCTCCTCTTATTAAGATGCATTTTAATAAAAATTTACAGAGTAGTTGTTAGAAGTTGCTGATCAAGTGTTTGTATGATTTTCAAATGAGAGTGTAAAAAACCTGTTGGAAAATATTCTCCTACTACAGAGTACTGTGTTACCTGGTTTGAGAAAGTTTGTGATCTATAGTTTCAAGGAAGTATTAAAAATGGATTCTTATTTTTGCCATAATATGTAGTTCTTGAATTCAAGTCTATATTAAATGGTCATGCATGTCGAGAGTTACTATTGAAATACAGGAATTGCATCTCTCTTGATGAAAGAAAAGACTTCCAACATTTGTTTGTACAATGATCATGTGGTAGTGATTCCTTTTTCTTTGAACTAAAATCATGTCATTCTCTCTTACCCCTCAGGTTGAGGATACTGTGAACCTGGTAAAGAGAATAGAAAAAACTGGTATTGCTGCCATTGCAGTCCATGGAAGGTAAATCAATTTTAGGCAAGAGATGTAGATCTTTTAGTTTACTGGTGAACGTAGTGCAGTAAGATGTGACTAGTATATGCTCTACATGTAATATGCGGTTCTGATTTCAGCTGTTGACTAAATTGGTGTTGTAGAAAATCTGGCCAGTAGTTAGGGAATTGAACCACTTGCTTCTATTTTTCTAAAATTTTTGTCTCAAAGACCAAATAAACTAAAGTTGTTTTGCATACTCTGTATCTAAAAAATGCAGCTTATCTGGATATGGAATTACAGTAACAATGGTTTAAAATGTATTTGATATGAAATAATTCTCTTGTAATTTTCATTTTATAAAAAAAAGCCCCAACACATCAAATATAAAAAGTAAACAAGCAGAAATAAGTAGGTCCCAATAATCCTTTAGTCATGTCTGCTGTGATTTAGATATCTACAAATTCCATAGGAAATCTTTGGTCTTGTCTTTTTTGTTTGTTGGAAAGGAAGAAGGAGGAGAGGCCTCAGCACCCTGTCCACTGTGATGTGATCAAAGCCATATCTGAAGCAGTCTCTATTCCAGTAATAGCAAAGTGAGTTGTACTGGTTAGCTTGTTATTGCAAAATGCCTGTGCCTAACTTAAGATTTGTGAGTGCACGAAAAAGATCCTTTATGTGCAGTGAATATGTTACCTGTTAACAAAGATCAAATCTGAATAGAGGCAGCAGTGACAGAAGTTTGCCTTTTGAAGTATCACCATACCTCAGTTTTTAGTTTTAAAATTCCATGTGTTTTTCAAAAAGTATTGCTTTTGTGTGTCACAGTTTATCCTATGCAAGTTATTTCTGATTGCGTCCAGCAGTTGAGTTCTTTATGCGTGTAAGCCCTGTGCAGTGACCGGTTATGACCCTACCGCTGTGAATCTTGGACACTTGTACCCTAAAGATCACCAGTCCTACTGCTCAAAAACAGTGTTAGGTTCTGTGGCCTCACATTTTCCCGAAGACCTCCTTAGTGTCCGGACATATGGATGCAATCCCACTGAATCTGTCTGCTTGTTTGATAGATCCTTCAGTAACTTAGTGATAGCGTCGTGGTTTTAACCTGGCAGGCAACCAAACACCACGCAGCTGCTTGCTCACCCTCCCTTCTTCCACCTCTTCCCCCTCCAACCCCAGGGATGAGGGAGGGAATCGGAGCAGTACAGGTAAGGAGACTCATGGGGTTGAGATAAGAAGAATTTAATAATTGAAATGAAATAAAATAATAATATTAGAATATATAAATGAGTAATGTGCAATGCAGTTGCTCACCACCTGCTGACCAGTGCCCAGCCTGTCCCTGGCTAGTGATCCCAGAGGAGAGAAATCCCAAAACTGCAATCCCAGAAGAGAGCCAACTCTATACACTGAGCATGATGTTGCATGCTATGGAATATCCCATTGGCCAGTTTGGGCCCGTTGCTCTGGCTGTGCTCCCTCTCAGCTTTTTGTGCACCTGTACACTAGCAAAGCCTGGCAAGTTGAAAAGTCCTTGACACTGTGTAAGCACTGCTTAGCAGTAGCTAGAACACCTCTGTAATATCGACATTGTTTCAGCACCAATCCAAAATACAGCCTCCTACTAGCTACCATGAAGAAAATTAACTCTATCCCAGCCAAAAGCAGCAAGGTGGTAAAACAAGGAACTCAGTCTTAGAAAACTTTAGCCACAAATAGTTAAGTTTTAAGAGAAATTTTGGAGGTAGTGAAAAGTATCAAACTGTCCTGAATTGCGTCTGACCAACATCTTCAGATGGTTCACCTCTGTAAGCGGCAGTAGAATATCCTTGGCCAGAGAAGCAATGCCCTTAAGTGAAGTTCTCTCTTCATTGATTTGAGTTTCCATGGAAAAGCTGCATCTCTGCAAATCATATACTTGGATCAGGAATTTGAGAACTGTTTCCTATTCACATTTGTATGTAGAAAATGCATTCAAAGTCACAGTTTTTGCAACTAGAAATCCTGTTTCTGTACTGGACAAAGGTAATATTCCATGCTAATGATCCTTGATCTGCTTTTTAGTGGTTCACTCTCTTTGTAGTTTTCAGAATAATTTCTTAAACAATATGGAATTAAAAGACCAAGGAAAACTCCCATTGTGCATTGCCATGAAGCCTTTGTTTGCCTAGGTAAAAGAGAAGGCTAACAGTTTTCCTTAGATTCATGTCACAAATGTCAGCTCTGTATGAGTACTTTCTATGATGTAGAACTGGTCAATTAAGATACAAAAATATCAGAGGTTTATTATTGATAAATTGCTTCTAATTAATCCCTATATCAATTTACTCGTTTCAAAGTGTCCCAACATGCTGAACTAGCCTTAATCTTTTTTTTTATTTTATTTTTTTTTTTTATTTCTCTGGAAAGGATCTTTGTTTTAAATCCACTTAGCGGAACTTTTCCATCTCTAACGAAATGTAAATGTGCAACTCGGAATCCTGCTTATTAAATACATTTGATCCATGATACTCGATCCCTGCTGTAACTTATTTGGCTAGTATTTTGAGAGTTTTAACCACTAGTACCTCAAGCTTTGTCCAGAAACAGACAGGAATGAATAAAAGGAAGTAGACTGGTGCTGAAAAACAACAAGAGAACTTGAATTGGTACTATGATTTCTAGAATGGTACTGTGTTTATAAAATAATCTTTCATAAGTGCAAGAAGCTTGCTTGTGCTGTTTTCACAATATAAATGTCTGGTTTAAAAGTAATTTATTGTTCTTTAGTTTTTATTTTGAATTTGACAGTGTTTTTACTTTGAAGAGATAAAGATCCTACTCTTATTTTATATTTAAAAAAATCCAACATTTATTTTGCCTTTTAAAGATGTTGCGAGGTGACACTTAAAGAAAAGATGTTTAAAGTGTTCTTTTTGCTTACCAACACATCTGACTTGCTGGCTTGAAAGCAGAGACAGTACAGTAGAAGCAGGGCGACCTTCTAACTTTGAAGTGTTTTGTGACTGACCAGGAAGTACTCTTTGTAGTTACTCTCCACATGTTGGTGCCACCCTGAACACGGAATGATGCTGTCCATACTTAACTTGTTTTCAGTATCATTTGTGCCAGCAGCACAGTTAGTATGCAGTTGAAGGTTTTACAATTGGCAATTACAAGGTATCGCTTTTCAAATAACATAGAAGTGATTCTTTGTGAGCCTTATCCATTAAGAACTGTGTGAAAGCACACAGTTTGTGTAAATCACAAACTATATTCTTCCTTCATAAAAAGTCTTCTGTTTTTAATGGAAGTATGCAGATAATGTCAAAATATTACATATAATCAGTGTTTTAATGAGCCATTGTCGATAAAACTCTGACCTGTTTATTGTCTTAGATTTGAGATAATATCCTAAATAGACTGTGGCACCATTAATAATGTAATATCACATCGAAAATACAAGGCTGTGTTAAAGTACAAGTACTAGCAAATAAAACTTTCATGATTATAACAGTGATGTTAATTTTTAGTGGAGGATCTCATGACTTCATCAAAGAATATACGGACATTGAGACCTTCCAGAAAGCAACAGCTGCCTCATCAGTAATGATAGCTCGTGCTGCCATGTGGAACCCATCTATCTTCAGAAAAGAGGGTCTTTTCCCCTTGAAGGAAGTCATGCAAGATTACATCAAATATGTATGTTTCTTGAAAGATCTTACTTGTAGTTAACATTGTTTAATTTTTTAATCCAAATCTCACTACAGTATTTTAACTCCTCTTAATTTCAAAGGCTTAGGTTCTGGGGATGTTTTAATGTGGTACATATGACATGAGTCTTGCAAATCAACTTCTGCTTCCTCTGTTTTATTTTGTTCAGAAAAAACTCTGCAGAAATCTGTATTCAGAAAGCAGTTTTTCCTGATCATTCTTTTCTTACATACCAGGCTTCTTAGCCCTAGTTTCTTGGGAAAATTTGAGGCTTACAAGGCTATCTAAAAATGTCTAGGAATCTGAAAAAGCTAATGATATGTGGGCTGACTCTTGATGTTACAGTAGGACAAATAATATTGAACGGAAGAGTGAAGAAATATTAAATAGTCAGTTACTGCTGGATTCATTTTTAGAAATTAATTGCTTTTCACAAATGCTGTCAAGAATATTTAACAGCAGGGAAGCAAAGGGAATGATTTGCCAATAAAGTAATGCTATATATCTCTAGCTCCATTAGCTGAGTCATCTATATAAATGTTTATCTATTATTCAAAATACACAATTTTAATGACATTATAGGAAATCAATCAGAAATCTGTGCCTTTGATCATATAATAAAATTTTTTTGTTTTTGTTTTTGAAAATTTGGACTGCCATTAACTAGTTACGAAAATATCACTGAACTGCCAATCAGTTATGTAAACTGGTCAACTCTTTCTTCATAAGTATACGAATAAGTTGAACTTCTGTTCCTGAAAGCATGCCAAAATAATCAGATTATACTCACATCCATGAGTAGTCTTGAATATGTTGTTAAGAAAACTGTATGTTGTGGTTTGTCTTTCAAAAAGGATTTTCAAATTCATCAAGAGGCATGAGCATTATATAAGACACATTTTTTTGATTTGTTTTTATATACTTTGTCTCTCACCTCCAGGCAGTGAGATATGATAATCACTATACCAACACAAAATACTGTTTGTGTCAGATGTTAAGAGAACAGTTGGAAACTACTCAGGGTAAGAAGCTGCATCTTGCACAGTCCACACAGGAGATCTGGTAAGCATATACTTCAGAAATAGGAATTGTATTCTCTGTTAAACTCACAAACCACTTCTCTGTCTGTAGCCCTGCCTGGCATTTCATACCTTCAGAAGAGGTTGCAACAACAACGCAAAGTAATCCAGTTAGTGAGGTGTGGAATAATGCAGTAAACTTTTCCAGGTTTCTTCCATGCTTAGGTGCTTTAACCCTAAAAACAAACTAATCTGAGTGGCGCTTCACTGAGTGACAGGCATGTATCCGTTATTGGTGTTAACTGATTAAGAAAAGTTTCAGCATTCTCTAGCGGTAGTCTGGAGGTTAATAGTGTGGAGCTTGTTGGGGTTTTTTTGCTTTATTTATTTATTTATTTTTATTTTTTATTTTGGAGAGGGACTCTTTACAAGGGCGTGTAGTGATAGGACAAGGGGCAATTGATTTAAACTGAAAGAGGGGAGATTGAGATTAGATCTAAGGAAGAAATTTTCACTCAAAGGGTGGTGAGGCACTGGCACAGGTTGCCCAGAGAAGTTGTGGATGCCCCGTTCCTGGCAGTGTTCAAGGCCAGGTTGGATGAGGCTTTGAGCAACCTGGTGTAGTGGAAGGTGTCCCTGCCCATGGCAGGGGGGTTGGAACTAGATGATCTTTGAGGTCTCTTCCAATCCAAACCATTCTGTGATTCTTCCAGAGATATTATTTATTTTAACTTTCTCTTTTGCATGTAGGGTTTTTACTGTTACTGCAATTTTTATGACAAGATGTTTGTTTTAAATGAACACTTAGAGATAAACTCAAAACAATGTATGAAGATCGCCTATATGATACTTAAACATAATCCTTTTGTGCTGCTTTTCATACCTGAAATATGCTAATGAACAATGACAACCTTTTTGAGGACGCATAGTAGCTTTAGTGAATCTCTTCATCCTGTACATCTGAAACAGTCTGGATGAAATTTCTCAAAGGGGGAGACAGAAAAGGAAGAAGAAAAAAGATTGAGAGAAACCATAAAATAGACATGTGATTAAAGAATTCACACAGAATGGAGGGGGAGTTCAGATTTGGACCCATCCCAAACTGAACAAAATAAAGGTGTGAGCTTGCATGTGTCATATCCATGTTGTGTCCTGTAATTATCCTGATAGAATGGAGGGAAAATCTCTTTGTTTTTATAAAATAAACAGTCTGAAACTGTTGTCTTACATGTATGAGAATGGATAGAAATGTTGAAAGATTGAAATATTTTGCAAATGGAGTTATTGTTTTCTAGCAACCCCTAATCAGCATTCTGTTCATGTTTGAAATGAATGGAAATACCTGCAATCCTTTTGTGAGTTTATTGCCATTTACCAATTTTGGCTCTCTATAAATGCTGCTGTCCGTGATTACTGCATCACAATACAATGAGGGACATTTGTATTTTTTATATAAAAGGAGCTGGCCTTCGTTAATCGTAAAGGAGCAGTGGGATCCATGAACAACGTTTACACTTTTCACTTTTACAATGTGTAAATAGTTGAACAATTTTAGCATAGAAGCTTACTATCTATTTTGTGTATAGCTTTCCAATTTGGTTGGAAGAGATATCGTATTGATTGAAACTGAAATGACCTTTTACAGCTTCAAATAAATCTTAGCCAAAAGGGGGTGGTGTTCTCTAGTGAATTAATAATAATGCGTGGTATGTAAAGAAAATAACTTGTAAGTAAGAGTCAAGCCTTTAAACAGGTAATTAAAGAGTCACAGTTTATACACATAAATACTGGATAGAGATCTAGTGTAAAACTTTTAGTATTATGTGCTATGCCTACCGATTCTTTAGGGGCTTCCTAAAGAAGCCTAATTGAACATAATTAGGTTTTGTATGTGTGATGCAATACCAATTTCAAAATTGGATTAGGTAGTGTGTGTGCAAGAGATGGGGAACAGAGCGAGGGCCCCTTGAAAATTTATGAAACTACTTTCTATCAGCATACTCAGTCTTTTAATCACTGCTCCAAACAGCCTGGTTAATACCCGGATAACTGAAGAATATTGAGTTATTTAAAATGCACCTATACATCTTCAGACAAAAATGTTACTTACTATGGCTGCCTCCTGGTGGTGATGGCATGTCAGAGCCAATCGAGGTTTTAACCTCAGTATGGAATGCAAGAGAACAGGCTGCTGCATTTCAGACAAAAAATTTACATAATGGTACATGATAAGTTGTCTTCTCTTAGAAGCATCAGTTAGCATTATTCAGCTTTGTTGCTTTTCCAGTTAGAGCATTGGAGATGGCTTTGTGGCCAAAATTCAATTTGTCATTGAACAGCCTCATGCCAATAAGCTTTCTTTTAATAGTCAAAGTAAAAGTTTTCTTGTGCTGCAGGTTTTATTGTTGTTGTTATATGCAAAAAATGAACAGTCTCAGTTTTTCAAAGTAGATGCAGCCTGCATCCTACTGCATTGATCCAAATCCTAGTTGCTTCCTCCCTGTGTTGGGGCTTGTGAATAGTACTCTGAAGTCAGAAAATCTGAGATTTTGAGATACTGGGATGTTATAGTGTTTATTGCTTATAGTATTTTTAAATACTAAAATTAGAAGAAGAATCTATTTCCTACCTTTAGCTCATATTGCCCCTGTGGAGCTGATGCACTGGTAGTCACTCGGAGACGTTCTTTGCTGATTCATCCACCTGCAGGTTATTAATTGAGCTAATGTCTTGAACATTGCAGGACCTGTACTTCTGATTGATTCCGCCTGGACTTTCAGGCTGCAAATTGAATATATAGTGCTGGAAATGAGAAGATTATTTTCCTGCTTGTAGCTCAACAGTGTCTGATAAGATTTGAAGGAGAAACAATACGATGTCACTGTGCAGAATATAGTGACGTTTTCATGTGATTCTCTGTAAACATATACTCTATTTAAACATGATTGTTTTCTATACTTATTCTTCTCTATCATAATGTGATACAAAAATTTATAAGCTGATCTTTAATACAAAGAAATTCTGTTTGAATAGTGAAGTCTTTGAAATGGCTGACTTCTATGAAGAAACAACAGCTGTTTTCGAAGCAAAGAAAACATCTGTAGAAACTGAAACACCAGAAGAAAATGACCAAATAGAAGATCCAGATGTAATAAAAATGGCTGTTAGATTTGACAAGTAAGCACGTAGATTAAGTTTTTCACTATCTTGCATCTGTAAATAAAAACTGAATCTAACAGCACCTTACAGTTTTTTAAAAATAACGATTTGCATAACAGTGCTCACTATATGAATTTTAATGAAGCAATTTGCATACATGATTACATAATCACTAGCATCACCACTCTTCCTTTGCTATTTGGATGTTGTAAGATGTTCTTTAGTTTCAGGCTTCCTGAGACTGCTTAATTCTCTCAGTTAACTTATTAAGTACTGAGTGATTTAAAAAAAAAAAAAATAAAAATCTGTACTTTGAAGAATGTGAGTATACAAAGATACAGAGTTCAGTTATTTTTGGTGAAATTTAACTAAAACACAATAGTTTTTCTATAAAAAGTCCTGCACAAATTTCATAATACTCTTTCCTAAGCAAATAACGTGCTTATCTCCAGTGTTCTAAATGTGTTCCACTCATAAGGTATTCCTTGAAAAACTTAATTCATGGAGTTATGCACAATATTATTTTATGTAACATTCGATATTATAATCTGTGAAACCTATGGAATTGCTGTTACTTTGTATGTTATACTCATGTTTGCTATTTTTGCTATGTTTGCTATTAAATCTGTCAAACAGCTCAAGAAGATTATGATCTAAAATGCTCCTCAAATCCAGACAAAATACTTTAATATTTACAGGATATGTTACCTGACTTCTTGAGGGCTGAACAGAGTGGTTTTACAGTATTTTTTTTTTTCTGCCAAGTACAAGGGGCTGTAATTCCGAGCCAGTAACTGAATCAATGTGCCTACTTTTCCTACCCTCTTTTATCTGATAACTCTACTGTCTCATAACAGAAGCAGCCTCTTTACTTTCTTCTAGTGTTTCATCTTCTATCGTTGCTTATAATAAGCAGTACCATACTGTATCTCTTGTTCGATGTCACGCATTTAGTTAGAATCTCCTTTCTGGTAAGTGTCTCTTCTCTGGTTGTATTACTACAGGATGTGAACATTTGGGAAGAATTAATAGAAAAGTTTAGATTTTATTCTAGATGTTACGTCAAACATATTACTTGAGTTATCCGATAAGGAAGCAGAATTTTCCTCATAGTTTAGGCTGTAAAATTAAACCACAGAGAATAACTGGTAAAATAATACAATAAGCAGCACTATCTGTTTTAAAATATATCTGTTTAGTAAGTAAACTCTGTGCACAGTTGTTGACTGCAGTTTTTTCTCTCTAGACGAGAATATCCGCCACAGATTACTCCAAAAATGTATCTTCTGGAATGGTGTAGGAAAGAAAAGCATCCTCAGCCTGTTTATGAAACTGTGAGTAAATGAAAAAACCCTTCCAAACCTCTTCCTCTGCCTTGTTGTGAAATTAAGTATTTTAGGACTCAAGGTAGTGAAAAATTCAGCTTCCCAGTCTGGCATACCTCTTGAGTAAGCAGCTTCAGAAATGGTAATAGACATAGGTATGAAAATAGCAGCTTACTTAATTAGAAAATTAAAATTTAGAAGTCAGACCTTCAGTGTGGTTTTGATTCATGTGTGAAAGAAGTTGCTGTAGCTACAGGTCATTGCACAGGAGTCCATGACTGACTTTCTTTTGCTACTTCTGTTATGTAAAGAATTTGGATTCAGAATGTTTTCTCTGTTGTTGTACACTGCTATAGGTAAGAGCCATACTGGATAGGAGTAACTCCTTGGTTGGATGGGGATGTTATTTGATTTTTTTTTTTTTTTTTAGCAAAAATATTTGCAGTTTGGACAATTCTTTATTTAAATTTTAAATATGCAAGGTTAAATTTGTTGTGCGAATTACAGTAATTTTAAAGGTGTTACTTTGATAGTGGTGTAAAGACAATATCAAGGAACCTTGACAATGTTGTTTGTTCTGTAAATGGCATAACTGTTTTTTGACACTCCCCTCTCCCTTTTAATTCTTTTTTTTTTTTTTTAGATTCAAAGACCGCTGGATAGATTATTCTGTTCAGTAGTGACAGTAGCTGAGCAAAAATACAGATCAACTCTGTGGTAAGCTATCCTTAATGTTTTTTTTGCAGCTATATTGTAATTGTTTCTGAAATATTGCTTAAAACTTTCAATGAAAGGGTATTCCAGTTTATTCCAATTGACTTTAAAGTCAACTAAGAGCTACCTTCTAAAGCTCCCTCTGGGAGGGAGAAAGGTTTAAAAATTTCTGAGAATTGTATGAGGCAGAGGAGGTAAGCTTTAATATAACCAAATAAACTGTTACAGATTTTTAATTTGCTTCGTGCCTTAGTCCACAAATGGTATTAATAGGGGAGCAAATAGGTGACCTGGTTCAGTTATGCCTGTGAAGAGTTCAGAAACTAGTCAAGAGAGGCAGAGAGGAGTGTTGGAGGAGCTAATGTCTTCAGACCCTACAGCAGATCCATCCTCAGGAACAAGTCAGTATTAAGTGTCTATATACAGTGAATCAGAGAACAGTTCAGTGGCTTCTCAGAGATCACAGTTAATCAACAGTTACATCCAGGGCTGCTCTAAAGTTGCGTGATGGTATTTTATGCAATCATCTATCCATACCAGAGTTGACTTCAGGCATTTGCACCGAAGTTGAACTTGGTTCAAGTGCAGAGCTATAGCACAGCATTGAACATTTTAGAGGACAAATGCACACCATGATTACAGGTGTTTGCAGTATTCCTGTTCAGAGACTTTATTAAGTTAAGCTCAGCTGATAAGAAACTTTGAGAAGAAAATGTTTTCAACTGTTGAATTTCACAAATGTATAATCTTCAGTCCCTCTCGGAGATGACAGAATTTTTATTATTATGGAATAGTTGCTGCTTTTGTCAGCTTCAATTAATTTGTATGCCTACCAGTGACTATATTTGGGCCTGAGTGTCTTTCAAGAAAGTGATCCTTCAAAACTCAGTTTTGTTTAGTGATCATATTTGTAAATGTTAACTTTCTGAGAATTGCAACCATTTGGGCCAAACACATGTTGACTTCATACCTTTGAAATGAAGAGTGTTTGAGGCACAAGACCTGGTAGAAGCAGATTTTCTAGGAATATTACATCAAGAGTGATGCATCAACATTGACACCTAGCAAGATTAAAATAATTTCTGGAACTCACCCGTTTTGTTCTTCTGCTGTGAGATGACTACAAATGCTGTTTATTTCATCATGTTTCATCAGAGACAGAAAATTATCTTTTGGCAGTGTAGAGACTTCAGTTTCTACTTTTTACCTGTGCTCTGTCTGCTTACTCTTCAGGGACAAGTCAAAGAAATTAGCAGAACAGGCTGCAGCTATTGTCTGCCTGAGAACATTGGGTGTCCCAGAGGGAAAGCTGTGTGAGGGAGAAAATCACCTGATAAACAAACGCAAGAGGGAAGACCAGGAGCACTTGAATAACAGAGACCATGAAGATCTCGCTGAGCCTTCACATAAAAAAGCTAATTTTACTGAAGAAACTTCTGACCTGAATGTGCCTAAGATGCCACGATAGCATGGAAATTAGAGGTTTCAGGCCTATACAAATTAACTCCTACTTGTATATCTTGCTGTTGACGTTTCATTTGGATCCTCTCGGAGACAGATAAATTCCTCAGTTGAGAAAAATGCCATTGAGATGTTTACTGTTCACCACTCTCTGTCCCTATGGTGCCTTTCAGACAAGATAAATTACCAACTTGATTTTAAAGAACATCGAGAAGATTATCCTAAATAATAAATTTTTTAAAATATCAGATATTATCAAAGCAATTTTGTCCTTGGTTTTATTACTTGTTTTTTATTTTTAAGAAGTCTACAGTATGCTGGTAAGAGATGTATGAATACATCATCCATAAGCAGATGGATTCATTAGGGAACTATGTACATAATCAGGAAAATTTAATGTAGGAAAATATTAGTACACAAGTAGACATGGTTTTGTCAAATAAGTTCTATACATGTCTCGCAAGCTTTATTTACACCTATCATATATAAAGAAAAAAATTTTTGCAAAGAGGAGTACTCTAGAAATTATAACACTAACATGAAAATAACATCTTCCTCAAATAATTTCTGCTACACTTTACTGTCCAGAAATGTGACAATAAGAATTAACCATCCTTTCCTGGTCTTGGGTATTGCAATTGTGCCTTTCCAGTGAGGAATTGAAGCCAAGCCTGGTAGCTATGAATTTTTTTGAATGAAGGCACTTTGAGCTGTTTTGTTCTTTTGAACTTGGAAGTTTTAGTAAATGTCTACATGTGTATTACTTGCAATAATGGGCATCCAAATATGGCCTTATGTGGTCGTCCTTGAAATGTGACCTAGTTTGCCTCAGTATTTAGCTGTTAGTGATACTGGTGGCCTTAATCAAAGGCATATGTTCTTAATTTGCCATCATCATAACTTCCTATGAAAGTAAACTATAAGTACATGCTATATGCCAAGAGAGGATATAGATCCAGTCTGATTTCCTGGCAATCCAGCTGAGCTTATCTGATTTAAATGAGAGTTTTGATTCCCCAAAAGAATGTCTTCATGAGTTAAGAGAATTGAGTGATTTCAGTTATTAACAGTTTATTGAAATGATGGTTTACTCTCCCTCCACAGGGTGAGGGATCTTCAGAGTTCTTGTCTGAATACAAAATGACAGGGATATTGTGCCGTGATCTCTAAAGTATTTTGCATAAAGAACATACAAAATATAATTAATTTGAATGTAGTTTATGAATAGTCTTCCTATTTAAAAATTTTAATCTCTTTCCTCAAGTGATAGTGCCAGCATTAAACTATTCTTTTAAAACAGAAGAATAATATCGTACCTGATAATGTTCAGATTTGTGAAATTAAATATTTAGAATGTCTGCTGTTTACATCAGAGTAATTTATAGTAAATCTACACAGTCTAAGGAGGGAGTTTTTCTTGCTCATTTTGTATATTGCAGTAAATGCAGTCAAATATATTTACATTTGATATAACTTTAGTGCTGGAATTTTATTCCTAAGCAGCAAAAGAATTTGCAGTATTAACCAGATATTTCAGAAGTAGCCATTTTCCTACTGAGTGCTACCTGGGTATCTTGTTTTTGTTGGGACTATTTGGAGCCATCATAGAATAATAGAGAAAAAGTTGTTCTTGGATCCTGCTAGCAGTGTGGCTTGCAAGGTCTAGTATCATGGCAACATGGAATGCTTAAGCTTGGAAGGGACCTCTGGAAATCAACTGGTTCAACTCACCTGCTCGAAGCAGGGTCAACTAGAGCAAGTTTCCTGGAGCTGTGTCTAGCTGAGTTTCATGAATCTCCAAGGATTGAGACTCCATGACCTTTCTTGGCAACCTGTTCCAGGGTTTCATCACCCTTACGGTAAAAAAAAAAGTAGGTTGTTTTTCTTCTTATGTCTACATGGAATATCCGGTATTTCAGTTTGTGCCCATTATCTCTTGTCCTGCCAGTTAGAAGAATCTGGCTTCGTATCTTGTCGTCATTGTCTGTCTAAAATTAAAACTGAATCTTTGGATGAACCCCAGTTGTTATAGGTGGTTGTGCCTAAATACAGTGTGGACTTGTGTGGCAGCAATTACTATGGGCTGGGACAAATTTATAGGCAAGCCAACCATGGGGAGCATGTAATTTCTGTGTTGGCTCATAGAAGAACCCAGAGGAAAATCACTCAGGAGAAAGTCTGCTGCAGGTGCTATGGACCTTTTTCCTGAAAGAGATAGGATCATTCAATATAGGAGCCAAGGCCTTCATATCCTAAGTATTTGTACCTTTTCTTTTTTTTTCCTCCTGATATTTTGCCAGCTGATGTGAACATGCATCCTTCCTGCATCCTTAGTGAGGTGTAGCCTATGTAGACTTTTCATGTTGTTTTCTTCCAGCAACTGACTTAAAATGCAATTCAGAACACAGGTTTATGTTGAGAGAGAGGTGACTCCAGTGGCAGTTGAGAACGTATAAAATTTGGTTTTATGTTGAACAGTTGAGCAGATTTCTGCAGCATGCTGTCAAAAATCCACATGGAACTGTAGTTGAAGATAGATGCTTAAACAGAGGTTATATGAATACCCTAGTGTGCAGCTGCTTTACTGGTCATCTGATGTTACAGAATATGTGCCTTGAGTTTAGTTGATGCAGAGAATTGGATAATACTGGATATGTAGCTCTCCATGAGCTGAAACAAATATTATGTTAATGCTAGTCTGTGAAGTATGGCTGTTATATTTATATTAAATCAAATGGATGCTAAAAGTTGTGGGGGGTGTGTTTCTGTTTTCTAATCGGTGCCTGTTTTCAGATCCTTGCTTAAATTCTTATGTGGTCACCAATGCTTACGCTTACTGCGCTTAATTCGTTGTACTGGTTGTATACAGCACAGAGGTGGTCTGCGCTGTAGCTATGGATGGCCATAGCTCGGCCAAAGAGAGCATGTGAAAACGAGAGTGAGGAGTCACTCAGTTGGAATGAGCAGTTGATGCTAAATATAGAAGGGCACTAAATTCTGGCAAATGGCTAGAAAGCATTAACATGTTTCATACCTTTGATTAGTTTCAAAGAGAAATAAAGAAAAGCTGCGATTGTACATATGCACGTGTGCCTGTCAGAATGATTTGGTTTAATGATGTTCTGTTACGTGCTTTCATTCCTCTTAACTTTATTACAACTAATGTGTGACTTACTATCCTACTTTGATCACTCAATTCATCTTAACCAGTTCGACAGACAGGATAGTTGTATTTACTATGTCTGTTCTTTTCTCAGCACTGGTTTTCAAGTAATTACTTCAGTGACCAGTGCCTTTCCTTCTAGAAATTGTTCTATTCACATTAGTTTTAAAGAGCAAACTACACTGGTGACTCTATACCTGTGCTTCTCTTCTCTGCTGTACCTTTCATAAACAGAAGATGGCAGATTTTTTTTTTTTTTTCAGAAAAATACACTGACTTCTGCAGTATTTAATGATCCCGCTATTGCACTTCTGCATTCTTGCATAGGGTGGCAATTGAGACCACAGTTGAGTTGGAGGATATTTAACCTCACTCTTGAGAAATTTTTTTTTTAATGTGGTGTGAATATGATACTTGGTCAATACTAACCAAAGCTGTGCTCTATTTTAAGTATTTGCTTAGTGAAAATGTTTCACTATTAATCCTATGGAATTCAGTGAAGCAACTGTTGTTTTTTTTCTGTCACAAAGCTACAGCAAGCAAACAAAAAAGCAGTTGTGTTTTGTTTCTTGATACTGATGCCACCGAAACTGTACAGAATGATACCTGCCAAAGTGTGATCAATGGGTATGGGGAGAATTGTAACTTGTCCTCCCTGTAGCCTACCTGTACTCTGCTTATTAGAAATTTGAATGAGAATGCAAAGATATTTTTGCTAGTCTTTGAGCATGGATGTGCTCACTGTGGGGCTACCTCTGGGGCCTTGCTGGTTGGAATGCTTTTTGGAATGTCCCGGGCTCTGAGCCCAACCCCGCCCTGGAATGTGAGGTTAAATGTTGGCGGTACAAATACAGAGTTTGAATATCAAAATCCTAGAGTTCCCCAGTACTGCAATTTCAGAAAGCTGGCAAGTGAACCACATGTCAACTCAGCTGCTCTCTGATTCAAAGAGTAAGCATGCCTTGGGTTGCTGGAGAAGGAGGGGGAGGTAGGATGTTTTTTGTTTTGATTTAGTTTTTGCTTACCCATTATGACCTGCAGAAAGGCATGCTTTTCAAAGATGTTAACAGGTAAGATGGCAAGAGGTCCCAAACAGGTGTTGGTTAGCTAGAAAGAAGTCTTCATTCACAAAAGCATTTTATCTATCACCGCTTCTTTAGTCAAACCTACAAGCTGAACATACTTGAGAGCTGTTGCCTTATTAAACAGGAGTCTGCTTATACTGGGACTGCAAGTCAGGAAGCTATGTCGATGAGATGCCCTGTAAGGCTTCAGTTTCCATCTGTACCACAATGCAGGAGGCCAATGTTTGAGGCTTTAATTCAGAGTTTCTGATGACAAAGCTGATGAAAAACATCAAAAGCAAGATGCAAAGTCTTTAGTGAGGAGGGAGTGCCTCATGTATTGTTAAACAGTATTGTTGCCTAGGTCAGTTAAGGAGAAGAACTGATGAGCTCCAGAGAGAGTCTAGTTCAGTCATCCTTACTCAAAGGAGTATTAACTTCAGTGTTTTTGAGAGGAGGCTTAAAAAAAATAGACATTTTAGCTCCCAAATGAAACTGTGTTGTAGGAGTCTCAGTGTTTTTGAGAGGAGGCTTAAAAACAATAGACATTTGTGGTGTTAGCTCCCAAATGAAACTGTGTTGTAGGAGTTAATGTGAATCTGTCTGTTAAATATCTATCAGATAGGTAAATACTTTTTCCTTTCCCTGGCTTGCTGGGAGAGTCTCTGTTTTCCATTTTTAGAAAGTTATTGTCTGAGAAATATCCTCTTGTGAGAGATTACAAAGCACTGTAGTACAAATTGCCACTTTACTCATTTTAACCTAATTTTCCTTGATAGTCTCATACATGTGTTAATGCTTCAGTATGTCATTGTATTTGATAGGAAAAATGAGCTTCCTGTTTAACTGTCTTTAAAAATTATTGCTTAGTGATTGCAACTGAAATGGTTACAATCTATCTGTAGTTGTGAACATGGATTTTTGATTAGTATTCTGTTGCATGGAGCTGACAGAAGTGGATTTGAGTACAGATCTTCAATCTGTACTTTTTAGCTGGTTTAAAAGTGTATAAACATTTCACCTTTCCTAATAATGTT